GGGGAGTTGGTATATGTATAAAATACACCCTATTTTTAATTTTTCTTTCCTTCCCCCAATCTCCATTTATTGGTTTCCTTCTGTTTTGCAAAAGATTTATCTTCCAGTTTTCTATTATCTTTTCTTTTACTCTAGAGTTTAATTATATTTTGAGTTTCTCAAATAAGGGAAACCATGTGTTATTTAAATTTGTGAGTCTGATTTACTTCCTTTAACATTGTGGCTTCAGAGTAGATTCATTTTCCCACAAATGACTCAATTTTATATTCTATTCTTGTAGAACAGTACTCCATTATGTATAAATGTCATATTTTCTTTTTTTTTTTTTCAAAAAGTGATTTTTTGAGACAGCCATTTCATTACTGGCTCATCATGGCCATTTGCATCACCATTGTACCCAGTTTATATATTTTGTGGTACTCACCCCAAATTCTTTATTGCTTTGTTTTTTGAGACAGGCTCTTGCTATGTAGTTCAGGCTCAGGCTGGCCTTGAAACTCACTGGATAGCCTAGGCTGGCCTTAAACTTGCGATCCTCCCGCTTCAGCCTCCTGAGTCCTGGGATTACAGATGTGCACCACCATGCCCAGCCATGTTTACTCATTTTAAAAAATATTCTCACAGAATTATAAGGGGTAGAGTAAGAAAATTCCTTGCCTTACTAATACATACCTGTATACCTGGAAACTGCCTGAAACATACATTTAATGTATATGTATGTGAATGATATGCTTCCCTTGAAAATATACTACCTCCTTCCTGCATTACTCCCCATCCATTTGTTGCTTTAGTAGTCAATAATCATTTAAGAAACCAGAAAAACAGTGTTGCCAGCCATGCTGGTGCACACCTGTAATCACAGCACTCAGGAGGCTGAGGTAGGATTCCCATGAGTTCAAGGCCAGCCTGAACTACATAGACCTTTTCTCAAAGAATAAAACAACAAAAAACCAAAACAAAAGCACGGGCCAGGTACAGTGGTGCACACCTGTAATCTCAACTACTCCAGAGACTAAGGCAGGAGGATTGTACATTCAGGGTGGGTAACGTAGTGTGACCCTATCACAAAACAGAAAGCTGGGGCTGTAGCTTAGTGGTAGAGTGCTGTGTGAGGCCCTGGGTTCAATCTCTAGTACTGCAAAACAAAGAAATGAGTTCAGCCCAGGATCAGAGTGTGGAGTGGGACCAGATGGTTCATGGGTGGCCACAGTAGAGATAGTTCTCTTCATAGTGGTCTTCATAGTGGTCAGCATGGATTAGTTTACTCGAGGGTCTGCCCCAGTTGGTGAGCTCTGAGAGGGATGGGACACTGTCTTCAGCTTGTCACTGATAGTTTTCTAGAGCCGAGCAGTTTGTAGTATAGCTAACATTTATGGAGTCCTTTACTTTTACTGCTCCACATAGCCCAAAGGAAGGTGTGTGAGTCCCATTCAATATAGGATAAAGCTGGCTAAGAGAAGTTGTTACAAGCCCAAGACCACAGAAAGACTTGGGTTTGTCTGGCATCCCCCTGCAGAGCCCAGTGGCTCAGAAAGGTTGTTATAAGCCCAAGACCACCCGAAGACTTGGATTTGAGTCTGGCATCCCCCTGCAGAGCCCAGATTATCAGCTGAGTGGGCTCAGGGCCAGCAGCTGAGCCTGCTCCATAGTGGCTACCTCACAGGCCAGGTGTGCTTGGGCTCTAGCTTCCAGGAAGGGCCAAGACCATCACCAGGAATCCCACGTTAGCAGTGTATGAGCTCTTTGTTGGCACTCCCACACTCCTTTCCCTGGAGGGAAGGGATGAGCCCACTTTGCCTTGCCTGCCTGGCAGAGCTGTTACCCATCTCTATCATTCATTGCAGTGTGGTTCAGGGTTGGGACTGGCACCCTGGGAGTGTGTCCACACCCAGCTAAACTGACCTCAGGTGGGACTCCTTATGTCTCTAGTATATGGTACAATTCACAAACATGGCCACTGAAGTGCACTGGCTACTCCCAAGATGGAGACAGTGGTGCCCACAGTGCAGGAAGTGACCCTTTTCTTGGCCATTCACTTTCCTAATTATCACACCCACTGTCGTGCTTGACACTAGCTTCTGATGCTAGTGCCAAGAGCCAGTGTCAGGTCCTGGCAGGCTAGTTCACCTTGCTCTATGAAGAGTTTGAAAATCTTTCTTTCCTCCTTGGGTGGATATGACCCCTTAGGACTGTTGGTCCTTTTACCAACTGCTTATTTGAAGTAGTTTCTGCCTGCAGTTTTCTAGTGAACAAGTATCAGGAATCAGAGGTGGTTTTTTTACCACATGGGGTGCAGAACATTTAACTTTTCTAAACCTCAGTTGCCTTAGTAGGGAAGCTAACCATGCTGTTTGTTGGGGTTTTGTGCATTAGTGGAAATGACATGCAGTTTTTATTTGGGCTGGATCCTCACAAGCCCTGCACTACTATTGATAGCTCTCATTACACCAAATCTTTTGCTCATGTGTAGGTTCTTAAAGCTGATTCTGCCATTTCCTGTGCTTCAGTTCTTGGCAGTAGAGGACAGCCTTGCCCTTACTCAAGAAAGCCCTAAGACCGATTCTGTTGACAGGTCTTCCCAGGAACATGTTTTATTTTTCTTCTTCCAAATCTCCAGGCAAGCCAGGAAGCCATTCGTGGGAAAATTGCTTCCCTTTGTCTAAACCATCTTGCAGGCATCCAACCTTTTTCTGCCCATTCTGAGTGCCTATAACAACTCCACTGTGTGGCTTCAAGTCAGAGGAAGGGGGTAGGATGGAGGCTGCTTCAGGCCTGAAAGATGGAACACAGCTCACATAACTGGAACTTTTGCCAAGGTGAGCTTAGCAGAAGTAGAGCTCAGTGAAGTCTGTGTCTCCCCTGGCATCCTAGGTGTCACACTAGTACCCACAGAATTCTTGCACACCACCTTGATGTATCTGGTTTTCTCCCAACAGTGACAATATTTCAGTCAGGCTAGGGTTTATCTTCCCTTGTACTTCTACTGCTGGACCTTGCTTATGTGCCCAGAACCCTGCCCCAAGTTTATGGAGGTGAAAAGCTTGGTGTGTAAACCGCTCCCTGCCAAACTGGGTCAGGGACATCTCTTCAGCTTTCAACATGCTTCATAAACATTCACTGTCTCTATAGCTGCTGATAAGTATAGTTCTATGGGTGGGTGGGGAGTTTGCTGAACATTGAATCCAGCACCTTTGCACTGAGCTACATTCCCCAGCACCTGCCTCCTTTAATTTGGAGGATCTTGCTAAATTTGCCAAGGGCAGGCTTGAACTTACGATCTTCCTTGCCTCGGCCTCCCAGAGTGCTGAGATTACAGGTGTGTACCACCACTTCAGCTATTATAGTTTTAAGAAATAGCTCAAAAATATATATATTTCTAATGTTTCAATGTACCTTTTTTTTTGAGGGGAGGATACCATGGGCAGTACTGGGAATTGAACCTGGGGCCTCACAAATGCTTGGGAAGGACTAATACTGAACTACATCCCAAGCCCAAGAAAAAACTATTTCAGGACTGTATAAATCCTAAACTTTATTTGGATTTATACATTTTAGGATTGTATAAATGCTATAAATCCTAAGAACTGCCCATCTATCTGAACTCTATCAGGGTCTTTGTGTAGACATAAAACCTAGGGCCTCACCATACTAGCCAAGCATTTTACCACTGAGCTGCTGCCCCAGCCCATTTTGGAAGCAGTCTTGCTAAATTGCTCCAGCTGTCCTTGAACTTATGATCCTTTTGCCTTGCCTGAGTAGCTATGCAGAATTTATGTCATCATTCCCATATACTGTACATGGGGGTTAACAAAAATGTCTATTTTCTTAAAAAGTAGGGGACACTTTCAGAATGTTGTCACTGCTAATAATTAATACTCTATTTGCTTTTCTGCTAAGTATTACAATTTCCCTTTTTAAAATCTATCAAGGGGCCAGGGAGTTAGCTCAGTGGTGCCAACGATGCCTGCTTTGAAAGCACAAGGTCCCAAGTTTGATCCCTGGTACCAAGAAAAAAAAAAAAATCTATCAAACCATCTTACTCATTTTAGCCAGAATCTAATCCTAGCAGAAATACTAACACCTTAAGAGAAGAGAACTTTCAATAGCTATAAATGAATTTAAATGAATGTGTGTGACTATATATAAAATTATGTACTTTTTTGAGGGTGCTGGGCATTGAATCCAGGACTGTGTGCTCTACAACTAAGCTATGTCCCCCAGCCCCTGAAGTAATTTATTTTAAAAGGACAAGGCTGGGTGTGGTGGTGCACACCTGTAATACTAACACTTGGGAGACTGAGCCAGGAGGATCACTACGAATTCCAGGCCAACATGGGCTACATAGTGACTTCAAGGCCAGCCTAACTATGTAGTAAGACCCCATCTCAAAAAACCAAGGAAATAAAAAAAGACAAACATTGGGGAAGGATGCTAAGTCTCAAACGTACATTCTTTATATTGGCCCATCAAACAATAAAGTCAAATTGAGAAAACCTGGTAAGTCCTTAAGAGATGTTGGGGTTCACTGTATTCCTAGCACTTGGAGGTCGAGGCAAGAAGAGCACCATGAATTCAAGGCCAGCCTGGGCTACATGGTGAGTTACATTCACGAGTAGCCTGAACTCTACATAGTGAGACCCTGTCTCAAAAAAAAGTCCCCGCAAAAAGGAAAAAAAAAAGACTGTGGTTCAGCCTTTTGCTGATGCTAGGCTTCCTATGGGGTTTCTCTACTAATTGGGGTTTGCTAGATTAACAGTGGAAGAACAGTTCTAGTTATTTAGAAAAAAAAGGAGCCTGACTACCAGCTGCAGTGTATTTATCAGTGTTTCAAGATTCTGGCTAACTTCTTACCACTATAGTACCTATTTTGAAGCCATATCCCTATACTCATTTCACTGAATGCTTCCTCCTACATCTAAATTTTATGATGTCTACTCATTTGAATTTTGTACCTTGGGCACAACTGGGAAAGAATCAGAAGTCACACAAACACAAAAAGATAAGTGTTAGAAATGTTTATTTGTCAAAAAAAAAAAAAAAGGGGGGAGCGGAGAAAACACGGCTAAATTTCAGCTAATGCTGTATCACGATCACAGGTCAGACAAAAAACAAAACAAAACAACAAAACCCCCAATGGTCCTAGCAACTTCAAAAGAGTAGCTTCAATGTTAAGAGTCCAGATTTAACAGAGAAAAGGCTGCTTGCTACTACATGGTCATTTTAAAGGGAAAGGAGATGCTGCAGGTAGGCAGGGAGAAGGGTTCAACTCCTAAGGAAAAGGAAGGTAAGAGGGGTTCCACTGTACAGGAAAAAGGGGATGCCAGCATAATCCTTACCTAGGGCTGCTCAGAGGCTGAGAATAAGGAACAGATTGAAAGGCTACAGACACTAGTATCAAGAGGAAAGAAAAGTCAACTTAGAAGAATTAAATTAAGAAAGAAAACATAGTTGGTCACAAATTCCTTTGTTTACTGAAACATGAAGCAATGGAAACATCCCGGCAAAAGGGACCGCGCGGAGCAAGTTCTCATTTATGACCGCAGCCCGAGGGTTCAGTCCGCAATTATCCTACCTGAAAGAGAGCACAACACAAGAGGCTTACACATTGCCTGGAGAGCAGCTTGGCTCCGAGTACAAGGGCCCTGGTCCCGTCCTGTATTCCAGGGGGGAAAAAAACAAAGAACAAAACAACACCAAGTCAGACTGCATCAAACTTACATCCCACAACATTACCTAAGTATCTACTAATTGCTACATATACACAAATCTACTTATAGGAGTAACAGGGCAAGTAATTTTCTGAAAATTACTATGTTGGTGATAAATTCAACTTTCTCATTTTCTTAATCCTTTTTAAATGTTTTTGTGCTACTGGGACTTGAACCCAGGGCCTTTGCAATGAATATGTTACATCCTCAGCCCTTTTATTATTTTGATACAGGATCTCACAAAGTTGCCTAGGCTGGGGTTGAACTTGCAATCCTCCTGCCTAAGCCTCCCAGACTGCTAGAAATACAAGCTTGAGCCACCATGCTTAGCTGACACTTATCTTTTAAGCAAAATAACCTGGGATAGAAGGCTGTTAGGCCAACAATGGGCATACACACAGTATCAAGAACTACAATTTATTTTTTAGGTCCAGGAAAAACAGAAGCTAAGATTTCAAATATGGCCAATTGTTCTTTTTTTTGGTACCGGGGATCAAACTCAGGTCCTTGCGCTTGTGAGGCAGGCGGCGGAACCACTGAGCTAAACCCCTGGCCCCAACTGTTCTTTTTTTTGGGGTAAAGATCCCCAGGCTGGCCCCAATTGTTGGGCTCAAGTGATTCATGATCCTCCTAGGTAGCTGGGACTACAACAGGTGTGTACCACCATGCCCAGCCTAACTATATCATTCTAAGTGTGTTTCCTTTTATTTTAATCTTCCACATAAACAAATTTCCAAAAATCACAGTCACAAAGGATAGTCTCAAGGAGTGGTCGGTTACTCAATCATTTCCAATACATCTACATGTCACACTGTCACAAATTTAGAGCCACATGTTCCAGTAGTTCCCCAAATTGACCAAAGCTCCCTTGCCAACTCAAAAGAAGAAATAAATCACTGCTAGATTTCTCTAATTCTTCCAGTGATGATGGAAACTCCAGACATCAATGGCTGGGGGAAAAAAAAAGTTAACTCACACCAAGTTCCTCTACTTATTACAGACAAAGGGCCAAATCTTGGTCTTGATCTGTGCCAATCGACTTCAAAAGTTGTGACGTTCTTGATCAGTTCTGCTAGGGTGAGACCCGAATTTGGATCCCCAACAGTTGTGTTGTATTTCATCCTGGCAGCCTCATTAACATCAGACTCCTGGGACTGCAACCAACTCAGGGTTATTCAGTCCATTTGAGGTTCACACCTGGAAGGTAAGTTTCTTTAAAAGTCATCACTAAAAAGAGGTTAATTGAACAACCACTTGCCTCCCAGTTAAAATTTATTTTTAAAATGCCCTAGCAATACCCTTTAAAGACTGCAAAGTTTAATATTTAACTCTGAAACATAATTAAGAAAAACAAGTTATTTAATAGACTGCTATCAACTTACTTCAGAGGCATTTCACCTCATGGTTGATCCAGCTGTAAAAATTAATGGTAAAATCCACAGGTTTTAGAATTATCTACTTAATACACATGAATACCTACTGCTGCACAATGGCCTAAGAAAATCCAAAGTTTTATTGACAAGGTCATGTAGGATATAACTCATCATAGGCTCATGGCATATTTGCTCCTCACTTCACAAAAAAGAGCAAATTCCTGTTTTCATCTACATATATACCAGGGGTGGGGATAAATCAGGAACCTTGGAAACAGTGGTTAATTCAGGTTAATCTTACTACTGGGGCTCCAATTCAAGTGACAATTTCAAAGTACAAGGAAAACCATGAGAATGTGAAGTTGTCATGCCGCCATTTCTACTCTCTTGAAATTTCTAGATGCTAATTATTGCCATTTGAACACCTCTGATACACATTTTCTGACATAGGTAAACTAAATTTTCAGAGTCGCCACCTATGGGTTTTTAGGCACATCAGAAAATTACCAATGTATCTAATTCCTAAAGTGTTCCTCTCTTAAAAAACGAACATTGCTGGAAGAAACCCATGTATATCACAGGCTACATGGGCTAAATGTCTGTATAAAACAATGCTCTGGATCTGAATACAGAAAGGACTGTATGGGACAGAGCATCAAAACATTCAGTATTCAATAAGTATCTTAGAACACAATACTTAACATGTGTAGGACTTTACCTGGCTTGCCAATATGACATTTGAAGAACTTCATATATAATGACTCAGTAAGTTTTATTAGCAAACCAGAAGGCTAAAGTTAAAATTCTCAATGTGCTATCCATTATGACTTCTGAACCTACAGCGTTCACCTTATCACAGCAACTTTGACCATGCAAAGAGCTTTGGTTTTGGAGTAAGATAAGCTTGAATTCGAATTCTTACTTCTCATTTACCAAATGACAGTGGGCAAAATACTGAACTTCTGTAAGCCTTAATTCACATCCCTGTGTAAGAAAATGCCTCTTACATACAGAGAACTAATGTTAGTTCTCTTACAATATTTTCTTTTCCTTTTTCTTTTTGAGACAGGGTCTCTGTAGTCCAGGCTGACCTAAAAACTCACAACGATCCTCCTGCCTCAGACTACCGAGTGCTGGGATTACAGGCATGCACCACCATACCTGGCTCTTACACTATTTACTATAATCCAAAATTTGTTTTCAACTTATTAAAGAATATTCTCACAAAATGAGTTTGTGTGCTCTCAGAAGGAACAAGTTGGAGCCACACACTAAAACTTCAAAAGGCCAAATGAATCCATGGCCTAAGGTCAAGAAATACTAAATACTAACATACAATTTGTACTTTTTGGACACTATCCCAACAGCAAACAGGTTGGCTCTACCCTCTATGAAGCAAGGGTCTCTCGCAAAGGAACTAAACAGAATCTCCTAACCACATCCACCCCACTCTCACCTCCAGTTCTTAAAAGGCTGAGTAACGTGCTCGGTCCACATACTGCTCCCGTTCATATCGGGCCATGTCATACAGGGAATTCCGTGCAGCTGCTGAAGCCTGAGACAGCTCACTCTCTGGGCCATAACCGTAGCCCTCTCCAACTGTGGGGAGCACAGCTGCAGCACGACGCAGTGGGCTCCTGTCCCTTCCATAATAGGAGGAAGAGGTGGCAGCAGCGGCAGCCATAGCAGCTGAGGTGGCAGCAGCACCAGAGTTCGGCAACAGGTGTCTGTCATAGGGATCAACAGAAGTGGAGTTGAGGTGACTGGTCACAGCTGAGCTCTGGACTTGAGGCAGATGAGACATGGTCTGGTCCGCATAGTTGTATGCAGAAGCAGCAGCTGCCGCTGCCACCGCTTCATAAGAGCGGACCCGGTAGCGCTTATAGTAGTCGAGTGCTCCATATGCATCATTGTAATACATGGATTCCCCATAGCCCATGGTGTAGGGTGTGCGTACTGCTCCATACTGTTCATTGTACTGCTCAGTAAAGTCTGCCACACGCCCTGTACGGTCTACTGGGCACTCTTTGGACCAATGTCCCTCTTTCCCACACCGATAGCATCCACTCTGGTCTCCCATCCCAGGAGCAGTCCGAAGCCGGCTGGTGGACAACTGCACATGCATTCTTTTGCCTTAAGGAAACAGATTAAGAAAATTTATTAAAACCCACTGACATTCTTTTCTTTTTGGAGAAGAGGGATTTTGGGACAGAGTCTCATTATGTAGTCCAGGCTTGAACTCACAATCCTCTTTCCTCAGCCTCCCAAATGGTGGGATTACAAGCATGTACCACCACCCCTGACTGACATTCTTTATTTTCCCTCAAATGAAAGTAAGCGTAAGATACACAAACACATACTGCTGTAACCCTATTTCAGCAATCCTCTACAAAAATGTAGCTGAACTGGTTTCAATTCAGATCAGAGCTAGAAAATCTAAGTCCTCAGAGACCACTCAATTTTTTTTTTTAACTTTGTTTTTTGTTTTTCTGAGACAAGGTCTTGCTATGTAGTTCAGATGGGCCTTGAACTCATGGCAATCCTTCAGCCTCAGCCTCCCAAATGCTGGGATTATAGGTGTGCACCACCATGCCTGGCGGTCAATCCTTTCTTATACCACTAGCAGACCAGATTCCTTCCTACTTCTCTCATTAACTTTTCTTCCTCCCCAACAAGTAAAAATTTTCTAATTTTCAATAATACTGTTATCTGTTAACAATTCAAAACCTGCCAATACTTCCAAATCAAACATCAACAAAATCCTCCCTCAGTTAGACCACATTTGGAAGATAAATCTTCCTCACCTTTCACTGATTTACTTAGGGCCACGTAAGACCTAAGCATTACTGTAGTTTAAAAACCGTAGCAATGGGCTAGGTTTAGTTCAGTGGTAAGAGCAGGTGCTTAGCATGCATGAGATGCTGGGTCTGATTCCCAGCACTCCAAGACACAAACAAGCAAAATCCAACAAAAAATCCAACAGCAATCTTCTATCTTGTTTCCTCCAGCAATCTATGTGTCATCAGAAAGCTATGGTGGATATCCAAATCATAGACTTACCAATCTGCTTCATCTCCCATACTTGTGGAAGTCATAAGACCCTCTAGATTTCAAATCCCTCCCTCAACACTTTTTTTTGAGAGAGAGAGAAAGAAAGAGAGAGACAGAGAGGCAGTCTTGCTATGTAGTTAAGGCTGGCCTTGAACTATTTAGTCTAAGCTGGCCTCAAACTCATGGCGAATCTCCTGCCTCAGCCTCCCAAGTGCTGGGATTATAGGCATGTGCCACCTTGCCCAGCACCCCACAATCACTTTTTTCTGCAAAGAAAAACTATTTGACCAAGGTCTCTCAACAAGAATTAGATCTTGAAATACTACCAGCTTCTTGGGGACAATGTGTTACCATGGAATAGAATCACCAGCATTTCATCCTTCCACAAAGCCAACAGTTCTTTATAGGGGATTTTTTACTTTAGGCAACGTTTACCTAATGGTCTATCCATGCTTTTGGGAAATGACCAGCACTAAAGAACAGCTAAGAGAAGAAACAATCTTTGCCTAGAGCTTATGTAACCCAGAAGCCCTTACCTGTGAAAGCTTTCAAAGTCTTTCAAAGGAATTTGGGAAAAAGTAGTAGTCTTGGTAGTAATTGTTTCGAACTGCTAAGACTTTCCAGATAAAGCCAATGCTTTTTAAATGGTAGCCAAAAGGCAACTAGTACAGATGTAGAGAAAAGGGACTTGTCATCACTCAAGGGTTACTGAGAACAAATCCTCCCTCCACCATCAGCTAACTGCTCTCTTTTCAACAGACCCTCTAGTAGCTGTGCAATAGAAGCCTTGTGCTTCACCACCCTGTTGCAAACACCCCAACTCAGGATGTAGGAAGCGTACCATGCACTGACGGGCTCTGAGAAGAGCAGGTTAGTGGGTTCAAATCACTTTAGTCAAAATCAGTTCTACCTGGGCCAAGGATTTAGCTCAGTGGTGCCAATGCCTGCTTCGAAAGTGCAAGGTCCTGAGTTCGAGTCCCCAGTACAAAAAAAAAATCAGTTCTACTCAAATGTCTAAGATGCCTGACCTAGTTTCCAATAGGTCCCATCTTCAACTTTTTTTTTTTTTGAGATAGGGTCTTGACACGTAGTTCAGGCTGGCCCTCAACTCACTATGTAGCCCACGCTGGCCTTGAACTCACAGGGATCCTCCTGCTGAGCACTGGGATTACAGGGGTGAGCTACCACACCCAGCTCTGCCTTCAATTTAAAACTCACTTTAGCAAAAAACAAAGATGCTCAGGCTTTTGACCTCCAGCTGCAGGTAGCATCCATCATCACACAATAACCATCAATGGATAGCAAATGGCAGTAAGTGAAGACAGTCACCCATCCCACTGTTTTCAGATATTTAAATACTCCCAATCACCCTCAGAAGTTTAGTTTGAGACAAGGTCTTGCTACTTAGCCCAGCCTGGCCTTGAACTTTCTCTCTGTAGCCCAACATGGCCTCAAACTCACGGTGATCCTCCTGTCTCAGCCTCCCAACTGCTGGGATTAAAGGCACGTGCCACCACCCCCAGCTCCTGCCTACATTTGCTGTATCTGTTACATCAATTGTAGAGTTTCCTTTAGACTAGAGGATTATAAGTTACTTGGCTTACAAACATGCATGGTGACATTAAAGTATGTGACAGAAACTGTGCTCTAATTCTGAGGTCACAGTAACGATGTTAATTTAAAAAGCTACCAATCCAACATCTATAAGAAAATCCAATTAAACTTAACACTTTATAGATTCTTTGGCCGGGGATTTAGCTCAGTAGTTTCGCCGCCTGCTGCGCAAATGCAAGGACCCAAGTTTGATCCCCGGTACCAAAAAACAAAAAACCCTACAGTGATCAACACAATAGAAAAACACAGCTGGCTATCATACAGATTCTGGATTTCTGTTTTAGAGAAAACCTAGTGATTTTACCTGTTTCTGATACGAAAATCTTCAGTCTTTTTTAATTTAGGGGAATGGAAACCCTAAATTTATAAATAGCTGTTGTTAAATCTACCTGTGTGTAGTTGTGAAAGGATGCCAAAAAAAAAAAACCCATCAAAAAAGCCAAAATTTTTACCTATAACTAAAAAGACCTGTAACAGAAGTGATAAGTGTTTTTGTTTTCTGTCTTTTAACAGTCATTCCAAAAGTTAAAACCAGGCTTTCAGTGTAAGTCCCCTACAGTCTGTTTTATTTTATTTTTTTGAGACAAGGTCTCCCTATGTAGTCCAGCCTTGAACTTGCTATGTACCCCAGGCTGACCTTGAACTTGAGAGCCTCCCACCTGAGCCTCCTGAGTCCTGGGATTACAGACATGCCACAACCAACTCTCCTAACGTTCTTATAGTTGAAAAGTACTGTACTCTTCTAGTACCTTTACAAACCAGGGCAAAGAAAATTAAAAGGCGATTAAATTCTACCATGCTACTACATGTGGACAACCCAAAGCTTTCAGTAACCTCTACATATTTTCTCTAGAAAGCTGGAACAGAAGAGTATTAAAACACTGAGAGGTAGGGCTGGGGATTTAGTTCAGTGGTTCTGGTGCTGGCCTCGAAAGCGCAAGGTCCTGAGTTCAATCCCAGGTGGGAAAACTTGGGGGTCTTAATTTCTTGGCTTCTACCATATGCCAAGATCCAGAAGGCTGGAAATGAAGCTGAGAAACAATGGGATTCTGATTTAATACCAAAAAAATGAGACACCATTACTTAAATATTTCCTTCCTAATTCAGCTTCCTGAATGGTTTACTTGGAAACAGATTCCTAGGGTTTTCTAATGCAAACTGTTCACTGTTGCTTGTGGAAAGGAAACATACACTGAAAGACCCAGGTAAACTGTGGTTCTATTGCTTCCTTTTAGAAATTATACATGTAAAGGCTTAAATGGCAGCCATTAAATACAGTAATGAAAATTCAAAAGAAGCCCAAAGTGGCACTTTTCACAGTCTCCTTCATTAGTAGATGACCAATAAGGTTTTAAACTGAAAACTGTGCCAAATGGTATCTAGATTATACTTTCTATAAAACCGTGACTTACTGTCCAATCCTAAACCTTCTTTTGTCATCTGGGAAAAATAAAACAGAGCTGGCTACTAAAATGTCTGTATGTTTAATTCATAGTAGACCACTCTCTCCAGAGGAGCCACAGAGAGACACTGAAAATCAAGTAAAAGATTTTTCTTCAATTCAGTTTGGGGTCTGCACTTTCTAAAGAAGTTTTGACATTTAAAAAATCATGTATTACCTTCCCTTTTTTAGGATGGGACTGGGGACTGAACCCAGGGCCTTCTCACTGAGCTGTATCACCAGCCCTTTTTTATTTCTGAGAAAGTCTTGCTAAAATTACCCAGGACGGGGTTGAATTTGGGATACTTTTGCCTCAGCCTCCTACAGTGCTGGGATTATAAGCATTACACCACCACACCTGGCTACTTCCTAAGTAATTACACCTGCTTTATTACAACACATGGTTGGGCCTGGAAGTGTAATTCAGTGGAGTGCGTGCTTATCATGTTCAATCTCCAGCATCAAAAAACCAATACCTGGGCTGGGAATTTAGCTCAATGGTGCCGCTGCCTGCCTCAAAAGCGAAGGTCCTGAGTTTGATCCCCGGTACCAAAAAACAAAACAAAACAAAACAAAACAAAACCAGGAGCAGCAAGGTACCTGGAGGGCTACAGGACCTTCATCAGGCCAGGGCCTGGAAACAAACCAACCCTAAAACTAAAACAAACAAACAAAAAAAACCCCCACACAATCATTCTAAGCCAACTGCTGCCTGGTAACTGATTTCCCTTATATGTATTTTTGCTCCTCTTATTTTACTCAACTGTATGTTAAAAAGCTAAGGGCAGAGCCAAACACGGCAGCACACATCTACAATCCTAGTACTCTGGGAGCCTGAGGCAGAAGGATTGCAAGTTTGACCCCAGCCTGGACAAACTTAGTGAGCCCATCTCAAAATTAAAAAGATAAAAAGGCCTGGGGATATAACTCAGTGTGAAGGTTCTGGGTTCAATCCCCAGTACTGCAAAAAAAGAAAAAAAAAGCATACATTAGTACACTACTAGAATACCTCTGCAGAGTTTGTAGCTGAGTTGTACATCCTTTTACATTTTGTTACCTGCCAAGAAAGAACCCTCCCTTCTCACTCTCCATTATCCACCAATGATCTCCCTTCCATGTCAAATGAAAATAGTAACACTTGGGGCTGGGGATTTAGCTCAGTGGTTCCACCGCCTGCCTCGAAAGCGCAAGGACCCAAGTTCGATCCCTGGTACCAAAAAAATAATAATAATAACAACACTTGTAAAGCTGGTGTACACTAGCATTTCAAAATATTTAAAAACTACAAATTAAAAAACTAAATAAATCAGGAAAGCTTAACTATTACATTTTGAATAACTTTCTAAGCTGGGTGTAGATATGCATATCTGTAATTCCAGGACTCTGGGAGGCTAAAGCAAGAGAATCATAAATTCCAGTCCCTCCTAGGCAACTTCATGATTTAATAAGACCATTTCAAAACAAAAAAAGGTCTGGAGATGTAGTATGGTGCAGTAGTATGGTGCAAAGGCCCTGGGTTCACTCCCCAGCACCCAAACACCCACACACAAAAAACAAGCAAAACCCAACAAAACCCCAAATTTTCTAACCAGAACAGGAATAGTGGCTGCAAACAGCATTTTCCTTTCATCATACACTGCTTTTATTGTCGAAACACTTTCACATCTATTACCTCATTCTAGTTTTACTACTGTGAGGGAGGTATGGCAGGGATCATTAACTCTGTAAGTGGGTAAAATGAAGCACAGAGAAGTTAAAACACTTGTCCATTTGCTAATTAATGGCAGTATGTACCTACAACTTTTGAACTATGCTTTAAAGAGTAGCTAAAGACCAGGACATCATTTGGCTGCAGGCAGGGATTCTTGATGGTGCTCCTCCACCAATCTCCACTATTTGTATATTTTCTTACTGTTCTCTGTTGAACTTTTCCTTTTATTCCATTATTTCTTTTCATCCTATTTTCTAGGCTTAGCAGAGGAAGGGCCTTTAAATACTTTTTTTTCCTCCTTGGTAGTAGGGATTGAAGCCAGGGCCTTCACACTGAGCTACATTCCCCTGCTCTTTTTTATTGAGACAGGGTGCTGCTAAATCGCTAAATTGTCCAGGCTGGGCTCAAGCTTGTCATTCTCCTCCCTCAGTCTCCCAGAATGCTAGGATTATAGGCATGCGTCATCAAGCCTGGCCTAAGTACTTAACAACTTTTTTAGTGGCACTCAGAACAAAAAGGGTGTTGACTTAGGAAGGAGAAAAGTGGCTGTGAATGTGTGGTCCAACGTATTGTTAACAAAAACCTTAAAAAAAAAAACAAACCTTCCAGAACAGTGCTATGCGACAGAACTTTCTATGATAATGGAAATGTTTTATATGTGCTAAAACAGTAGCCATTACTCTCTTAAATCTACTAAGTACCTGAAAAATGTACAGTATAAATGAAAACATGAATTTTAAATTGTATTTAATTTCAATTAATGTACACTTAGTGGCTACCATATTAACACAGTGCTACAGTTTTCAACCTCCTATAGTATTAAAACAACACAGGTCCCTTTATTATCAGTTTAAACAATATTTGCTCTATGATGCCCTTACTGGAATCTCATCAGAAACAAGACCATCATTCCTATGCAACCTTGAATTTTTAGAAATTTTCTTTTATCCCCCCTCTCAGGGTTAAATAATACTAGTTAGAGCAGAATGGTCTGTGGCTTTTTTTTTTTTTTTTTGCTTTGCTTGTATAGTCCACAGACTGAACAAATTTGAGCACCCAAAAGGTACTCCCCCCAAATCCAGGTTTACCAGCCAGATTTGTAATACCTGAATTCCTGTAGATACCTTTTCCAGTCTTTCCCACCACTACCCATCACCCAAGAGAATAGACCATAAATTCTAAGCATTTAAACCCTCAAGTAAAAGGCATCTTTGGTCACAATAAAAGAAACAGGTAAACCACAGATCTTTAACCACCCTTCTCCCAGGTAATACCCATTTACCCAGCAAGCTAGCCGTCCAACACCACTCATATCAGTGAATGAAGACCACAGAATAAAGCAACCCAGTTTGTGATCTTGCATAGCTGTTGAGGAGTATCTCAGCAAACCTGAATAGGGGAACTGTTTGCTTCCCCAAGAGTAAGTTATGCTTAAAAGTGATGAACACAATCTATTATTCTGAGCTAAAAGAGAATGGAAGAGACTATTCTACCAGCCCCAAGGTCTTGTGTTCTTGCCTCAGTTTTGAGCTACACCCCACTGAGCTCTGCCACCCAGGCCCCAGGGCATTTCACCTTGAAACTCTGTGTTGTCAAGGCCCCTGATGGCCTCCACTGCATCTTCTGCCCGCTCCATGTGTACAAAGGCATAATCTTTCACGATGTCACATTCGATGACTGGACCATACTCTTCAAACTTGGCTCGAAGCTCTTGGTTGGTACAAGTGGGACTGATGTTGCCCACGTGTAACTTGGTTGAAGCTTTGCTCTTATTCTTGCTGGCTTCCACGTTGATGTTCACCCCGTGCAGCTTGTAGTGGTGCAGGTTTCGGATGGCATCCTCAGCTGCAGTTTTGTCTTCTATGTGCACAAAGCCGTAGTTCTTAATGATGTCACATTCCAGCACCTTCCCATACTGCTCAAAGAGTGAGCGGATCTCTTGCTCTGTGGCCTCCCGGGGCAGGTTTCCAATGAACAGCTTCACCATCCTGACAAGAGCCTGGAAGAGAAGAAACAAGACTTCAAAATTCAGGGGTGATATGGGAAATTTTAATGCACCGCAGCATTTGAGCTTAATCCTACAAAGTTCCTGGCACCTTCAAAGCCTTCACACAGACGTTCATTATTCTTCCCTGACAGAGGAAGAGCGGTTTGTTCTTAGAGTGTGGAGTGCCAACAAGAGGTCCGAGGTCAGCATGCACAACATTGTCAATATCTCAAGATGAGGCGCGTTTGAGTTAACACAGCTGTTTCATGTTTCTGAACAGGGAGGAAAAAAGAAAAACCGAAGCAGAAGGCATGAAGTACGTGGTAACACGATTTTGGAGGGAAATCTGTGTACCTCTCCACGGCGCGGAATCACTTTCCAAGATACTGTTAAGAATAAAAACGCCTCTTTGGCCCCAAACCCGGACTCCATTCCTTGCAGCCCAACCTCCAGCTCCTTCACCCCAACAAAGACTCAGTTCGACCCCTGCCCCGCCCCCTCTGGAGACCTGGTCCCGCCTCCTCTTGTTGTCTTCTCCGGACCTTCGGCAGCAAGATGAGAAACCCAGTTCTTCGGTCATGCCGGTCCGCAGAGGGCCCGACTCAACCCGCCCGCGGGATTCCCACACATCCCTAAAACCTCCTCGTACCTCCGGGTAGCGGCAGTGGTGGCGGCGGCTCCCGCGTCAGAGAGAACCCTACAAAATGGCGACGGCCGCTCGAGCCTCGGCGCGACCGGGCCCGTTCTCGCGCGCCAGCTCACGCACGCGCGAGTGCGCGCTACTCAGTTCCCCAACCCCTCGCGGGAGGCGACGGACCAATCCCGCGTCCTCACACAGATAGTCGCCCAACACCCAGGTGGGAGGGGGAGCTGGTGACTGAGCTGCAAGACGTCTGTCGGCCTCCCCTCAGCCTCAACTAGCCAATCACCGCCCTGGGAAGGGGTCGCGTTTTAAGCGTCAGAAAGGCTCGGGACGCAACCACTGTCTTGGTAAAATGGGAAGCCCGGTGGAGTCACTAACCCTTACAATGGATCGTGCTATTGGGCAAGCTGGGGAGGGGAGTGCTGATGACAAAGGGTTATCTCAATGGGTCTCCTAAAAGAGGCTTTTCTTAGCAGGCTTATCAGTCTATATGGCAGCGAGGGTAATATTACAGATATACAGGTGCGCCGCATTTTAAGCAAACCTAGTCATTTTGGGGGTAGCTCTTTGAACAATTTTAAGTTTTTGCTTCATTGTGGAAGAAACAGAACCAAGAGCAGAAAGATGATCTGTGGCAGAGCTGGGTTAGGTCTGAGGCATTTCTACCCAAGCTACACTTAGTCAGGTTAGTTTGTTCATGTATAACGTGGGCTGGTTTTCTCTCTAGTAAGCGCGTAAGCTCTAATCGTGTGTCCATCACAGTTCCCGGTCCGTGGTGGGCACACCAAAGAAATACTTGGTTCAGAGGCCCAGAGAAATTCCTCGTTTTCGGGTGGGACGGCATCTTCCCGTCCACACCAAGCTGCAACCATGCCTCTCGACTAAGCTTTCATAATTCAGCTGCGGCTCAAGGGTACCTCCTGGTGGCAAAAAAGAAAACTATTAGGTGGATTATTCACTATCACCCTCTACCCAACAGATGCTTGTGAAGATAGATGGATTGTTTATCTCCAAATAGAGGTACCAGGGTGGTTGACAATCACTATCCCGCCTTGTGATGATTCTGTGAGTTCGCTGATGCCGTCGAGGCACAAATTCCCCGAGCTCTTCTCCCCGCCCCCTCCCAGCTACTTGGATATGTTTCACTAAATTTATTTCCTGGGCATTTCAGAAGCTGCTTCTTTTTTTAAAAACAAGATCTTGCTCTGTAATTCAGGCTGGCCTTAAATTTACTGTGTCCCCAGGCTGGCCTCAAACTCGCAGCAATCCTCCTGCTTCAGCCTCCCAAGTGCTAGGATTAGAGGCATGCCATACACCTCCCCCGGGAGAAGCTTCCAATTTTAATAATCGACATTCATTGCCACCTAATTCTATTTGCCTCTCTTTTCCCTTCTCAGGCATTTCCAGTTTCTCTCTGCACTCAGACTTTTTACTTTCAGACACCTCTAGAGACTTCATTGACCATTTCTGGCATAGCTGTCACTAATCTTCACTATTACTAACAGCTTCCTTTGATATTCCAGAAGAGCCTTCTCAAAGATAGAGTCTGCATTTTCTATCACCCACCTTCATAAATTGTATTTTGGATTCTGACCATTCTGATTCCCAAAATTTTCTGAGGTCTCCAAAATTAGTATCCCTTTAACAGTTTGCATCCTTCTAAAACTTTCATTTCATTCACCATCCTTTCCTGTTTTTAGGGGTTTTTTCATAGCTGACTTCACCATTTCATCTCCTTCCCTCTTCTATTTCCCCATTCTTTCATTTATTCTCTTCTATCTCCATTCCTCTTTCTTCATAGGCAATCATTCTAATGAGTTTAATGCACATTATTTGGTTTGTCTGTGTTTTTGGAAGTCATGTCTTTTAATGCGCATTTTTTTCCTTTCTTTAAAAGCAGATTATAGGGGCTGGGGATTTAGCTCAGTGGTTTCGCCGCCTGCTGCGCAAGCACAAGGACTTGAGTTCGATCTCCAGTACCAAAAAAAAAAAGGAAATTATCTGACTTTTTTTTTTTTTTTTTTGGTACCGGGGATCAAACTCGGGTCCTTGTGCTTGCAAGGCAGGCACCAGAACCACTGAGCTAAATCCCCGGCCCCAAAAAACCAAATTATCATGGAAGTTTTCCAAAAAGGCACAAAATGGGCTGGGGATTTAGCTCAGTGGCGCCACGCCTGCCTCACAAGTGCAAGGTCCTGAGTTGGAGCCCCGGTACCAAAAAGAAAAAAAGGCACAAATACAGGGATATTATGATGAACTCCTCTGGTCCCATTATCCCACTTCAACATTAGTGACATTTTGCTGATCTTATTTCATTCAGCCCCCTCTACTTTTTTTGGGGGGGGTAGGGGGTCTGGAGTATTTCAAAACAAATCTCAGACATAATATCATGCTTCTAAGTACATCACTATCGGTTTCTAATCGAAAACATCATTGCTATGCTTTTTTTCTCTTCAGTGCTGGGTATCTAACCCAGGGCCCTGTGCATGCTAAATGAGTACTGTACCACTGAGCTACAGCCCTAGCCTATATGCTATGTTAATATCTAATTATTTATGCTCAAGTTTCCCCTAGATTGTCACAAATGTCTTTTCACAGTCAGGGTTCTTCTAATCTGGACCTAAATAAGGTCCAGCCATTGTATGTTTGCCTAAGTTATGTAAATAGTGTGGTGTTGTATGTATAGCTCATTATTCTTTACTTTTTCCTACTAAGTGTGCAGTTGCTATGTGAAATTTAATTCCTGAGTAATACTCCAGGCTGTGCAACCACGTGTTTTATCTGCCTGTCTCTGGATATAAGACACATTAAATGTTCCGCGTGTAGGATGCTCTCGTCATTATGAACAAAGTTGTGAGTAACATGTGTGCCCTAATTCTGTGTGAGAATGTGAGGGGATGTAAATCCAGGGGTGCAATTGCTGGTCACTGGGTCATAGGGTATACATAAAACTAGTTTGTCTAAGCAGTGCCAGATTGTTCCCTGGAAAAGCTGTACCAGCCTGCCTCCCACCTGCAGAGCACAGGGATCCTGTCATTGGTACTTCTCCAGAATGTTTGATTTCCAGTTTTCTGATTTTTGTCTGTCATATAGATATAAAGTAGTACTTTCTTTTTGCTTTGATTTTCATTTTTCTGGTTACTAATGATTTTGAGCATCTCCTTGTTCTTAACTTTTTGAGTTACTTTTCTGTAATTTTCCTGTTTGTATCTTTTGCCTTTCAGGCTGCTGTCTCCTTTTTATTGTTGATTTATAAAACTTTTTGTATATTTTAGATATTACTCCTATTGTTTCAAATACCTTTTTCCATTTCACCAACTACTTTGTCCACGGTGTCCTTCACTGAACAGGAAGCCTCTTTTATGGAGTCATATTAATCAATTTTTGTCTTAAAATTAGTGCTTTTGAGACTTCCTATATGATGTCCTTTTCTACCCCCAAGTCTGAAAGATGTTCTATTTTGTTTTATTATTGTTACAGTTTTTATCTTTCACATTTAGGTCTGTAGTCTCATTAGAGCAGTGATGTCTGATAAAAATGTAATTTCAGCCATATTATTATTTTTAAAAGGCTGGCAGTATAGCTCAGTGGTAGAGCACTTGCCCAGCATGCCTGACATCTTGGGTTTGACCCCTAGCAGTGCAATCAATCAATCAATCAAATAAAAAATTCTAGTAAGGCTGTCTCTGAATTACTCACCCCATCTCCACACTGATTTGTGTGCCTGTGTTGACAGTATTTTTGCACTCTGATTTGTCTTGTATTCATCAGTGCCCCATTCCATCTGCTATCTTTCCTGGAATTTTTCCTCTTTTCCATCCACATCTGTAAATCTCCCCCAAGACTGACTCTACCTGACTCTACATTTGTCCTCTTCTCCATTCTGTCCTTATGGAATCATGCCCTAAAGTAGCTTTAGTTGCCACATGTATCCAGATAACTCTTAAGACCATATTGTCCATCTTTCCTTTCCATTTTCAGTGGTTCTGCAGAACCACCGTAATTGGCTGCCATATTTACACTCACATTTTACATTAATGTGATCATTTCTCCACTAATTTTTCTCCCTACATATACTTTCTTCTGAAATTTCCCATGATTTGTCCTGAGCCCCCAGACTTACCACATGGGGCTGTGAACACCCATATTCCCTGAGTACTCTGCAATGTGATTGTCTCCATACAGAGGTGTTACAGCTGCATTTGAAGTACAAGCTAAGGTGTCTGTGTAGAATCGATGCATTATTCCATGACAGGCTATTGCAGTTCTATTTATCCACATTTACTGTGGAATTCTGAACTTCCCAATCTCAAGAGAAAGGGACAATTGTCCTGTGGGCTGCCTGGCCTACCAGATCTCATGTCTGGAGCTCATTCTGGGGCTGTGCTATGCCAAGTCCTGGGCCTGCACACAGTTGACTGTATCTGTCTTGACTGATTGCTCAATTATGCTGATAGGGCAGCTTGCCTGAAAAGGGGGTTGTTTATGTGGAGAAAACAACACAAGAACAAGGCTTTTCTGTAGGAAGTCACCAAGGAGTGGTCACTTCCAACAGCATCTGGAGTCAAACACTATTATCCTGAAACCTCTAATTGCCAAGTCAGAGATAAAGGAGAAACCACCTGCTTCTTTTTTAGTACTTCATTCAACCTAGAGTGTATCACCTTGTGTGCACTTGTGTTTTACATGCTTAGGATACACTTTATGGCTTCCCAGGTTGACATTATTCTGTTAGTCAGAGGATGGGGAACCTGCCATTCCTCTGATCTCTGTGTAAGCTCCCTTGATTCTACTGGGGAGAAGACAGAACATGGGGTTGGTAATCACCCTCCCCGTGTTCAGCTCTCTATTGTCAGCTGAATACCAGCTGAGATTAGATTGTGGCAATGCTCCCAGTCTTCCATTACTGATGACAGTTGAGAGGATCATGAGTGAAGAAAGTACACAAGGCAGGGGAGCACTGACTGCCTTTGAACGCATACTGCTTATTAACATCATAAAGAGAGGCTTGGCATTGGTGACCCCAGCATCTTGGAGGTCATTACCACTGAACAATGAGACCAAGATAGGGAGGCTCTCACAACCACATGGTTCTTTGAGGGCCTGGAGGCTGGGAGCAGGGTGGAAACCTGGTACTCAAAGACCAGAACCAAAGGAAAAACATGGGCTCAAGTGGAGAGGCTGTGGTCAGGAAAGCAAAGACACCCAGAGGCAGTGAGAGAAGCTGAGCTGTTTAATCACCTTCTTGGCCAGACTCAAGGCTGTGGGTTTCCCCTGAACAACTCACACCTGGAAGCCACTGGGA